GATAACCAACCTTTTGTACTTAACTTTGACACGCGCCCATTTTTCATTGGACAGGAGACTTCCATTGTTACCAGATTAGAGCACAACCCGCAAACTGATTTGGTCCCCAGGGCTTCCTAAAATGGCGGATGATCGGACAGGTAGCGTGCGTGACGTCTGAACGAGGTTGCTGAGCCAATCGATAGCAATCGATGAACGGTTTTGTGTGGTTATCGATTGGTCATCGATTGCCCGATACCAATCGATGCCAATTAACTAATTTTATCGATTGAATTTCCGATCATCGGTTTCCATCGATTGGATACCCCGGGGTTTTTTTTCACTTTTATGCGAACGTTCAGCCTAACGTGACATATGGCATATACTATTACATAACGACCGAATTTGACTACCCGAAACGTGACTCTGGCGTTGCAGCATATGGAGGTGTTGTGTTACAACGGTTTGAATTTATAAAGATTTATATGAGAATGCAACGGCTTTGCTTGAAAAGTCAATAATTATTCTCATATTTTGTGAATAAAATCTACTTACCCTGTTGCTGTGTTGTATTCTTTGTTGTTTGCCAGCTTCTCAGGCCGAGTTAACGCGATTTCGGCAAGTTATCGTTCTGTGGGTTTCCGCTACTAAAAGAAAGACTTTCTTTTAGTAGTGGGTAAGCAGATTTTATTCAAAAAATATAAGAATAATTGACTTTTCAAGCAAAGCAGAGCAAGGGAAAGGGAAAAAATGCTAGAAGCAAAGGGAAAAAATGCTAGAAGCTGCTAGAATTGAAGAGAAAAGTCGGTCCGTCCGATCTTTCAACAAGAAGCTAGGAGAGCACATGACCAGCACCACAACCTTGTCAGAGAGTTAAGTGTGGGTGATCGAGAATATTATTTCAGGTAAACTGGATTAACCCTCCTGATCTCACGAACCGTACAGTTAATTCGTGCTTGTCCACCATAGTCGCCGCCATTTTGTCAATAGTGCTGATGGCGGACTGGGTTCGACAGTTCTTGCGCCGCTCTGATTGGTTCTTTGTTATGTTTTTTATGTCCATGCTGTTCACACATGTGTTAACAGACACATAACATCATAACGACATCAAACTCACGACTTAGAAATCTTCTTTTTCATCAGACAGATACAAAACTCGCACCGATTGAGCACGGATAATCGACTTCCATCTTAGAGAATGAGGGAAGAAAAACTATTGTTAATGCTTCGCTCTTCAATAGTTACTATTCCTCTTAATATCAGGGATCCAAGTTAATCCCGTCCCAGGCCTGTCGCTGCCTTTTCTCATCTGCCATTTTTGACTCAGTGTCTTCCACAGAGTTCGGAGTCTTACAAATAATTAAACTGAAAGTCATTGTAGGACTCAAACGTTCTGTTTAATACATGTGCTTATTTTATTTGCTCAAATACACTCTCTTGTTTGTTTTCTTCACTGCACTACTTGCTAAGCTTTAATCTCCACGAGCCTGCTAACCCGTCGTCTATCCGCTGACCTGTAAAAAAACCAAATTGTTCTGTTTGTCGGAGGTTACAGAGTTTGAATCTATTCTGCGTAAGCCCGCAGTGGTTACCACGGAGCCAGTGACGTTGCTTAGCAACACAACGGTAGCACCAGTTTCAATGGACAAGTTTTGAAACTTGGTTCCAAGGACCAGGCGAAATGATTTTATACACCCTGCTTCAATGCCTCGAAACCAAAGCTGAATTTAACATTTCGGAACTTGCCTATTAGGATATATTTGTCCTAGAAGTTTCAGGTTTAATCTGGGCCAAAAACATTTGCTTTCGATTCTAATTCAACCAGTTGAGTTAATTACTATACGTGCCATGCAGTTTGAAGAGCTCTCACCTTGTTCCCAGTACTAAACGACCAGAAACTGTCATGCCATCTTTGACGTCACTCCACGATTGACCGCCATCCGTACTGCACTGGATTGTAAGACCAGGAAAAGCGGAATTGACTTGAAGCTTTTGTGCCACAATCCTAAACGAAAAAAATGACACAGAATCAGAGATACTTTTAAGCCCTGGTGTGCGATCATTCAAATGAAAGCTATTGAGCAGTACTTTCATCTGAATTGATTTACGTTGCCATACATGACCAGCTACTGTATTACCTCGCTCCAGGAACAGGTATATGATAATCAATGTTCATCTTATCCAAGCGCACCAGCTCCTTGTGTCCAAGCGTATTAGCAAAAGCCTCCCATTCTATCTTCCTGACTCGATCGCGTTTCACTTTGTCCATTTCACCCTCAAAACAAGCCTTGTGCCAGGCTCTCTCAGCCAGTGCCAGCAGTCGTGGGTAGATCATAGATTGGAGCTGACTTGGTGTTCGAACAGTTTCGGACCAAAGGGCGCCAGCCATGCCTTTGAAAGTAAAAAAAAAAAACCCACACTTGAGACAAAGTGACTCACAGTGCCGGAGATGATCTCGGTTTCTGTAGCATGAAGCGACTTGGAGTGCTGCAATTTCCCCCTGGATGGAATGCTAGTCCATCGCATGTTATCCCAACACTTTTACAACCTAAATTTCGCCAGTAACCGTTTTTATTACACCGGAGGAAAGTTTCTTACCGATGACCACATTTCCAATCAACAATTCGTCTTTCTCAGATACCCCAACTCCCAGTAGCATCAACAATCTCTAATTAATTTATGTGTTTTCTATTTCCTTGTTTCCTTCAACAGAGTGCTCTCGGCCCACTCTAAATGACCAAATATCCTATTCGTCACTCTTACGCCAATGGACTCATGACTAACACTCCGAATGTCACCTTTGTGAGTCCACCATAGTGTATGATCGATTTTGAAGTTTACATTATAAGTCAAATAATTCTCGCATTGATTGGTCCTTACTTATAATCTATTAGACAGAAGTCTAGATGACGTCGTTAACACTTTTTGTTTCTTCATTATATAAAACAGATAGATTTCAACAGTGCCGTGCGTCTGTTCAGTAATAGATCACAGAGAAAGTCAAACTGTGGTAAGAACATCAGTGGCACACTCGACTATCGCCTCGTGTGCCACTCTTTTGTTCTTACCACATTTTGACATCATCTGTGATCTATTACTAAACAGACGCACGGCAGCATGGAATCTGTTTGTTAATTACAATTTTAACCAGTTGATCATGAAGAACGAAACTATTTGATTCGATTTCACTTGATTCAAACTACCTGCAATATTTTGTGGTTTCTTAAGAGGAACGCATTTTCCTTTGTACATTTCCTCGCACAGGTTAACAATGGGATCTCCCATCCTCGTGAAATCTGCATTAGCATATACGTCATCTGGGATGAAGCCAAACGTCTTCCGGGTGTCAATGAATCTGGGCGCCCAATAGTAACCTCTCTCCTCTGGGTCCGGCTCGTATGGGTGATCAAAGTACAGATGGGTGGCTTGCGTGAGAACAACCTTAACAAAAGTGAAAGTCATTGTATGTCATCAGGTGCTATCAGTTTGACAAAAATTCAGTAAATTTTGTAATGGGAGCGAATGATTCTGAAATTTCTGGGAAAGTTTCCACAAAATCTTAAAGGTGTCGAATTTCCAAAATACTTACAAACCATTCCGGGAGCAAAATAAAAAAGAAAGGTAATTTGCAAATATTGTTGGAATTCTTTAACCTCAAAACGAATCAAACATATTCCAATAATTCTTTCCATATTGAATTACTACGGGGGAGTGGGCATGGTGTTTCTAGTAATTTTCTCTATCATTCTGGCTATCAGAAAAGAAAAAGCAATTTTTCAAATAATATTACTAGAAAGCCAAGATATATAATACTTATTAAGTCGATTTGGATATTAGAGACCTTCAGCAAACCACGCCGGCAACGGCAACAAGAACGTCTCCTAACAAACGGTTTAATGAATAGAAGGCTGTGCACGTGCGTTATAAATCTTTGTACATTTTTCCGTCCTCTGCACAACAGCAACGTGAAATGACCATGTTCTGGTTATTCTGGAGAACGCGAACAGCAGCAGCTAATGTTTCGTATTTTCATTTGACATTGAACGCTGGTGTTACATATTTAGCTTGAGCAAGTTCTGAGACCAATAGGCGCACTAAACAGATCTAGGCAATTGCGAAATTCGAAGGTAAAATATAAATTCATTTTTTTTACTAGGCGTTGTCCTCGGGCTCGCAGATTTCACTGCTTAAGTTCTCTATTATACAGAATCACAAACCGGAGACCTGAGACTTAAAAACTCGATGCAAGTACTAAACAGAATACTCTCTAATCAGCTTTTGACGGGTTGTTGCTTTTAACAATTAAATTATATCTAGAAAAGCAAACTCCAACAACTCTATGTATCTGGAAAACCAAGCCAACCTTGTAATCAGCATTTGCCAGTTTGTAAGCCCGATCGCCTTGTCCCCATTCCCACACATTATCCCAGGCATAAGCGTACACGTTCCTGTTCTTGAGGAAGCTCCGATCATAAGGTGTGTCCTTCACTCCAAGAACACCGTCCTCCCACGCGCCAAGATCAAGGCAGTACTTGGAAGACACATCTGCCACTCGGCGAACGAAGTACTCTTTTAAGTCCTTCACAATAGTTGGACTCGTAAAGTTCATTCCCAGTTTATGCGCTAACTGTTTGCAAGCGGGGGACTTGGTCCAAGCACCATGAGCCACTTCATCTCCACCGAAATGGAATATCTGGAAGATAGAAGTTGTCAACTGTGAGGAAGATGGCCACTAATCTCAAATGTTATTATGTATAGCTGTGAAGGCGTAAAAGATGTGACAGGCTTAGAGAAAGGGAGGGTTGGAAGATTGAAAATTCTCAAGCCGTGATATATAAATATGAGTAACAAGGGCAAATTCAAAGCTTAACGGAAATTAAAAACTTTTAC